GACAAGGCAAGAAAGAATATCCAATGAGAAAAAGACCATCTCTTCAAAACCAGACAGCAACATGCAAAAGAATGAAACTGGACCACTTTCTTACACCATCCACAAAGATAAAGATGAATTAAAGACCTAATGTGAGACCTGAAAACATAAAAATCCTAGAAGAGAGCCCAGGCAGTAACTTCTCTGACATCAGCCTTGGCAACTTTTCTCTAGATAGGTCCCCTGAGGCAAGGGAAGCAAAAAGCAAAAACAAACTATTGGAACTACATGAAAATAAAAAGCTTTTGCACAGCAGAGGAAACAGTCAATGAAACTAAAAGGCAACCTATGGAACGGGAGAAGATTCTTGCAAATGACATATCTGATAAAGGGTTAGTATTGAAAATATATAAAGAACTTATAAAACTCAACAGCCAAAAAACAATTCAGTTAAAAATGGGCAGGAAACATGAACAGACATTCTCCAAAGAAGACATCCAGATGGCCACCAGACACATGAAAAGATGCTCATCATCACTGATCATCAGGGAAATGCAAATCAAAACTACAATGAGATACTGTCTCACATCTGTTGGAATGGCTAAAATCAACAACCCAAGAAACAACAGATGTTGGTGAGAATGTGGGAAAAAAGGAACCCTCTTGCAGAGTTGGTGGGAATGCAAACTTGGTGCAGCCACTGTGGAAAACAGTATGGAGGTTTCCAAAAAGTTAAAGTAGAGCTACCCTACGCTCCAGGAATCACACTGCTAGGTATTTCTCCAAAGAATACAAAAACACTAATTCAAAGGGATACATGCACCCTGTGTTTATAGCAGCATTATATACAGTAGCCAAGATATGGAAGCAGCCCAGTGTCCGTGGATAGATGAATGGATAAAGAAGATGTGGTGTATAGATGCAATGGAAATTTATTTAGCCATAAAAAAGGAAATCTTGCCATTTGCAATGACATTGATGGAGCTAGAGAGTATTATGCTCAGTGAAATAAATCAGTCAGATAATGACAGATACCATATGATTTCACTCATATGTGGAACTTAAGAAACAAAATGAGCAAAGGGAAAAAAACGAGAGAACAAACAGATGGTTACCAGAGGGGAGGTTAAGGGGATGGGTGAAGTAGGTGATAGAAATTAAAGAGTGCACTTGCTATGATGAGCACCAGTGATTAAAATAAAAACTTCTTTAAAAAGTGACATTCCTCTTGGGTTGTGTCAAAAAAAAAATAGCTACTATATAATGAAGTAACAGAATACTAAGAGATAGTCACGTGAAAAAATGAATATTGAAAGTGTAAGTTAGTATAAGCCACACTACCGATTTTCTAATAAAATTGAGGACGTGCCTCGCTTCACTTTTTTATCCATATCCTTCTTCAGAACCATATAAGTTGTCTTAAAAATTATTTTAGACAGTTTTAACAAACTCTTTCATCTCTCTCCTAAAGCAGTAACGCTATACTATATTTATTAAGGTTGCTCTCCCACTGCAATGGTAATTTTACAAATAGATTGTAAATTCCATAAGAACAGGGGTTATGCCTTATGTTTCATTATTTTTCCCTTGTAATATCACACAGAATTATGCATAGAAAACAATGTAATCAGTATGGTACATAAAACCTCATTACAGATCAGCAAGTGATTCTGATAATAGGAAACACTAACTCTGAACCCCAGTTAAAGGAAATGTTATTCCCACCAAAAACAATTCCATTCTCTTCATTAGTAGGCTTATACTAAAAAAAACCTGTACTCAATTATGTTTTGAATTTCAATAAAAATTTATGAAAAACTTTTAAAAGAAATGTTTTAGATAAAATTAAACTTTGAAAAAATAATTTCTGGTTCACCTCCTTAAGAAATGTTGATCTTCCTTTGAGTATACTCTGTGACCGTTGTTTGAAAATAAAATATTTGCCACTTAATTGCTCTGCTTTGCCTTGGAAAATAAAAAATAGTTGAAGTGATTCTGTTGGGGACAGATATTATATAATTAAACACAATTGCAGGGCACCTGGGTGGCTCAGTCGGTTAAGCGTCTGCCTTCAGCTCAAGTCATGATCCCAGGGGCCTGGGATTGAGTCCTGCATGGGGCTCCCTGCTCAAAGGGGAGCCTGCTTTTCCCTCTCCCTCTGCCAGACGCTCCCCCTGCCTGTGCTCTCTCTCTCTCTCTCTCTCTCTCTTTCTCTCACTCTCTGTGCAATAAATAAATAAAATTGTAAAAAATAAATAAACACAGTTGCAAAAATACATGAGCTCTTGACTGAAAAACAATCAACATGTGTTTATCTGGGTCCAGATTTCTTATTCTAAACGTAATGTTTTGCAGGTTTGTTGCACGTAATTCCTGGTAACTTAACTCTCGGTAGCCCTTTCTCTATTCCTTTTAATTCCGGCTCCAGGCTTCTTCAATGAAAAGCAACTCTTGGTTGAGACTGACTGGTTTTGCCAAGGCCAAGATCACAGCTTTGCTTATCTTACCACATGTATTGCTTATAGTTTGTCCATTAATTTTCCCGTTAATTGGCTAAATCTCATAGATGGTTTTCCATGCTTTAAAAAAAATCTTTTGGTTTAAAATTTTATTCACTCATCAACCATTTATGGCTTTGCCAATAGATTGTAAGCTAAAAGAACAGGAATTTATGTGTGTTTTTTCACTACCATTTTTCTTAAAAGATTTAAAAAATTTTTTTAAGTATTCTCTTATCCCCAACATGGGGCTCAAATTCACAACCCTGACATCAAGAGTTGCATGCTCTACCGACTGAGCCAGCCAGACTCTGGCCTCCTTTCACCACCATTCTTTCCATAACGCAGAGCTATGCCTGGGACAAAATACGTGATCCAAAATACGTATGGAATGATTGACTGTCAAGTTATCAAAGGCAGCTTTATTCTAGGTGCTGGGACACAATGAGAAGCAAAAATAAACACAATCTGGCCCTCAGGGAGTTTAGATGAAGGAAATTTAACAGAGATCGATCATCAAAACAAATGTCAAATTGTAAATTTTTGACAGTGCTATGAAGCAGGGGGACCAGGTGCCATAAGGTATAGACTAGAAGGATCTTCCCTCTTGGGAGACATGGGGGAAGAGCTCCCTGAAGAAGTGGCCTGAGTTTAGATCAAAGGATGATCATGCAGGAATTAGAGGAAGAGGAGAGGACAGAGAGTTCCATCCTTCTTTAGTTTCATCTCCGTGTTTTTCCCTCTCAGTGTCCACCCACCACCATGGTATTTATCATTACAGACTCTCCCTGTTTTTCCTGCAACCTTAGTTTGCTAGCTTCTCATGGACTTCTGCATAAATCTTAAGTGTATGTAGGTCTCCTTTTGGGTCAGAACCAAACTTACGTTTTTGTTAAAATTGCCAGTAATCACTTTAGAAACTAATGACAAAATATCAAAAAGAAAATGAATTAACAAGGAGAATACCTCTCTTCTACTTATTTACTTTAACTGTTGTATGCTCGAGGAAGTGCCATATGATAAATACTTAATAGATTTGGGTTGGTTAGTCGCTTGGCTGGCTGGCTGAATGGCTGGTTAACTGGTTAGCTGGCTGGCCAGGTGTTGGTTGGCTGCTCAGTGATTGGTAGGTTGACTGGCTAGCTTGGTAGATACTGGTTGGTTGGCTGGTTGGCCAAATGTCAGTTGAGTGCTGGCTGGCTGACTGGGAGGATGTTAGTTGGTTGGATGACTGGCCAGTTTGTTGATGAGGTGGTTTAGTGAATAATTAGAGTGGTGGTTTATCTCTGGCTTTCAAGTCAGACTTAATTTTATTCAGATTCTGACTGACCATTCACTGATTATGATCAACGATTGACTTAAGCTCTGTAAGTCTCAGTTCATTCTATAAATTAGTATTTTTTTTTCTCACAGGGTTGTAAGAATAAAAGTGATACTGCATATAAAGTTTTAGCATGGTACGCAGGGTATGTTCACCGTTCACTAGGATATGTTCACAATTTTAAAGAAAAGAAAGAAGCTTCAGTGTTGTTCCTAAAGGGAACAAAATTAGTGAAAGGAAGTGATTATTCCATGTAAATGTTTGTCTCATTTATCATAGCCTTCAAATATGTTTCACTGCTGCAAATACGTGTCTATTACAGGGTCATAGTACACAAACCTAAGAAGGAGCTGCTACATGTAGGAAGCTCAGAAGCACACAAGCAAATGTTGACAGATTAAAACTTAATTCACCACCCTCCCCCGCTCCCCTTCTTCCTGACTGCCCTATCATCACATGATTGCAGGGCTCATTAGGATAGCAACTTTCTCTATCAAAAAAAAAAACTTTTAAAGGAGTGCTAATATATTATTTGACATGAGTGACTGGTTACATAGGTGTTTGCTTTATAATTATTTGCTAAGCTGAACATGTATGTTTTATGTATTTTCCTATAGGCACACCCACATTTAAACATACACAGAGGAGGTGAAATTGGCATGGAAGAATGTGATGGGATAGGATAGTACAGATGAAATAGATAAACCTATGCTAGGTCTGTAAAAGCAAAGGAAATTCCTTAAAATTCCATATGGAAAGAAATCTACAAGCAGTAAGCAGTAAACCCTGATTGTGAAAAAGAGAACATGAAATTTATTCCAACTGCTCCAGACTGGCTATCTCCTTGTCACAAATTAAATGGCTAGAGTGGCAAATTACTAAACTTCTGTGTGTGTGCACTAGTCTGCATAAATGTAATCTGTGCTGGAGTCACTGCAGGGCAGGATTTTTCCAGGCCATTTGCCACTTGCTTAACATTGGGCATGAAGAGCTCCCCTCGATGACAGCGCTTTAATAGACCTCAATTACTAGATCCACTTTGCATAGGTATCACCGCCCCATTTCTTCCAGCCATTGTCCTTAACATTCGTGCCACTTGTGCATTTCAGAGATAGCTGCCCCCGGTTTATTAAATGCCATCAGAAACAAAGTCAAGAATTACACATCTTTATTACTAACAAGCAGCTTTTGGTTTTTTTTAGCGCCGACTGGGAGATGCAGCAAAGAAAGCTATCAGCAAGCTCCAGGTCAGAACCATCAAGAAGGGTGACAAGGTAACAGGAGCCTCTTTTCTTTTTGATGAGGGACTATTCAAAAAAGTTGCTGACTTTTCCAGCAGCCAGGGTAGAAGAGAGGGGAGGAAGGGAGAAGGGGAATACGTGAAGATAGTTCGCCTGGGTCTGGTGTTATACCCATCTGTATTAAATATAATTTAAAACAATTTATAAAATGCATACAGTAGGACAACAAAGTAGTTGGAAAGAAAATGTAAGAGATTGAAAGGTAAGTATAGGAAAAATAGATGAAGCTAGGATAAAATTTGTACCTAAGTACATTACCTGAAATGTGTAACAAAAATGGATCCCAAACTTAGGTTGGGGCTTTCTAGCAGCCAATGCAATGGAGGAAGAAATATTCAAACAGTATCTGATTACTTCATCCCAGTCCACAAGGTGAAAACAAAATGGTTGCTCCTAGTATTAACAATTTGAGAAAATTTTTCCATAAATCCTTGCAAGGAGGAAAGTGTTATATGTTGTGTGATGTCCTCCACTGATAATTGCAGTAAATACAGGAAGTATATTCAGTCCCTCTGAAATCTGGCATCTACAACCCCAAAGTCATTACAGCACCTTCCTTTGCTGGAGAATGAGGACTTAAAGCCAAGAGCAAAGCCTATCTTTTTTTTTTAATTCAGGTATAATTAATATAGAGTGTTGTATTAGTTTCAAGTGTACAACATAATGACTCAACAATTCTACACATTCCTCTGTACTCATCAAGATAAGTGTATTCCTAATCCCCTTTATCTGTTTCACCCATCCCCCCCACCCGCTTCCCCTCTGGCAAGCACCAGTTTGTTCTCTGTGTTTAAGAGGCTGTTTTTTTTGTTTGTTTCCTTTTTTTTTTCTTTTTTCATTTCTTTCTTAAATTCCACATATGAGTGAAATCATATGGTATTTGTCTTTCTCTGACTGGCTTATTTCACTTAGCATTATACTCTGTAGATCCATCCATGCTATTGTAAATGTCAAGATTTCATTGTTTTATGGCTGAGTAATATTCCATTTTTTATATATATATAATAATATATATGCGAATATATATAAAATAATTTCTTTATATGTATATATGCCACATCTTCCTTATCCATTCATCTATCAGTGGACACTTGGGCTGCTTCCCTATCTTGGCTATTGTAAATAATGCTGCTATAACCACATCAGAAGCAGAAGCATATCTTGAGAAGGAACAACTAAGCAATGCAGTCCAAGGCCTGCAGACCTCTAAAGGTCTTTCTTCTCCCCAGAAGAAATATTAGAGCAGTGGATTGCGGTACATGTACTTGGAGTTCCTTGGGGCATTGTAAGGGATTCACAAGTCTACACGTATACCAGGTGTTGTCTCTAGTCCGAATACTTGATTTGTTTCACTATGAGCTGCTGTTTTTCAACTATATAAAAATACTATTGAGTTAACTTAATAAGATGAAATTCATTTAAAAGCATTACTAAATTGGGGCGCCTGGGTGGCTCAGTCGTTAAGCGTCTGCCTTCGGCTCAGGTCATGATCCTGGGGTCCTGGGTTCGAGCCCCGCATCGGGCTCCCAGCTCAGCGGGAAGCCTGCTTCTCCCTCTCCCACTCCCCCTGCTTGTGTTTTCTCTCTCTGTCTGTCAAATAAATTTTTTTTTAATCTAAAAAAAAAAAGCATTACAAATTTAAAGTATATTTTTCATTACTTTTTTCCCCTCAACAGAATATAAAAGAACAGGGACTACCACATAAGGAATATATGTTGGGGTATTGAAAGAGATTGAATAAAAAGTTAAAACCATTGTTCTAGAGTTGTATACATAAGATTCCCAAGGAATTGATAGATTAAGTATCATTCCGACAGTTCTCCATAAATAGTTTTTCTCATCCTTGAGATTTTGATGTCACCTCTTGTTATAATAAATAGCATTCCTAGTAATGGTATATTTAAAAATTGCTTTCTCACAATCATAATAAATATCATTATTAGTAACAATACATTAAAAAATTGTTCCCTTATGAAAACACTTGCAGTGGAACCCAGAAACAAAAAGTGGAGGTTGGAAGGAATGGAAAATGGGCCCAAATACAGTCAATTATTGATTAAGAAAACTGGCATGTAGACGATTGAAAGCCTTGCTCCAGGCAAGCTCTCCTTGCTTGTTTGCGTATTTACACAAGAGTTGAAGCTACGCAAGTCAACTCATCTGTACTTTCTCTGTTGCAGGAGACAGAACCCGATTTTGATAACTGTGCAGTTTGCATTGAAGGGTACAAGCCCAATGACGTCGTGCGGATCTTGCCCTGCCGGTGAGTCCCTGGGCCGCCTGCTTTTGAATGGGGTGTGTGTGGAGAGTGCCTGCTGGCCGCACTGGCTCAGACCTGCTTGGCCTCTTGGCCTAGCCCTGCAAGGTCAATCTGCCCAAACGTTTCTGGGTTTAGATGGTGAACAATCAAAAAGCTTGCTCTTTTTGTGTAACCTTTCTCCTTGAAAACATGTTTTCTTGTGAAATAAATATTTTTCTGATCTTTTTGTACCAAAGGAAGCATACTGCTATGAACTAGAACCTCATGATATGGAATTTGATGACGTGACTCCAAGTATGAGTTTTCTTTAACAACAAAATTATGATATTCAGATTCAGTTCTTACCTTCACAAGTGCTGTTTTAACTTAATTAATGAACTCATAAAATTATATCATGATTTGGGGCACCTGGGTGGTTCAGTGGGTTAAACGTCTGACTCTTCATTTTGGCTCAGGTCATGATCTCTGGTGTGAGATCGAGCCCCAAGTTGGGCTCCATGCTGGGGATGTGGAATCTGCTTAAGATTCTTTCTCTTCCGGGGTGCCTGGGTGGCTCAGTCGTTAAGCGTCTGCCTTCGGCTCGGGTCATGATCCCAGGTCCTGGGATCGAGCCCCACATCAGGCTCCCTGCTCAGCTGGAAGCCTGCTTCTCCCTCTCCCTCTGCCTCTCTCCCTGCTCGTGCTCTCTCTCTGTATCTCTGTGTCTCAAATGAATAAATAAAATCTTAAAAAAAAATTCTTTCTCTCCCTCTCGCTCTGCCCCTCCACCCCCCTCTCTCTCTCCCTCTCTCTATCTAAAAGAAAAAAATGATATGTTGTGAATAATCATGAAGAGATCAACAGCCAGAATATGGTCAGGAGTGAATGGGAAGCCAAAAGCAAATTCCGTTTCCTTTGGGTTTTTTTGGGGGGGCGGTGTTGTTATTTTTTTATCAGCAGGAAGGAAATGTGACAGTCACCCCAAAATTTCTAGAATCTAGGGGAGGATGCCAACATGTGTAGTTGGAAACACTTCCCAAGTGATTTTCATATAACCCTAACCTTTCTCCCTAATTGAAATTTACCATTAAGGTATTTGAGTTTTTTAATATAGTTAAAATTAAATAAGTTTAAATACTTCAATAAAATCAGATATTTTAAAGTTGCATAAAAGTTGTCTTCCTATAATTGAAAACCTCTTTTTTTAGTGTTGTTGTATCTGTGAAGTATCCTAAAAATAAAAAATTATCCCTTGAAGAAAGGTTCTTCAATCAGAAAGATGAGCTTTAAAAATTCTTAAGGGGCACCTGGGTGGCTCAGTTGGTTAAGCACCCAACGCTTGGTTTTGGTTCAGGTCTGATCTCAGGGTCGGGCTCCACGCTCAGCATGGCTTCTGCTTAGGTTTCTCTCTCCCTCTCCCTCGGCCCCTCCCTCCCTAAAATAAAGAAATAAAATCTTTTAAAAAATTCCCAAGAGTACTTAATAAAGTAGATAAAATACACAAAGATATAAAGCAATGCACCTTTAAGAACTATTTCTTAAAAATAAGAAAGAAATAAAATATGCCTGTAGAGGAATTAGTTTAATAAACCCAAAATGACAAAGAAGTGTCAAAAAAGGACAGGATACGTGAATAGATGCAGAAACTCCCAAGGGGGATGGATCTTTCTTGAAATGCTTTTAGGCAAATTGATCATCAGGAAACAGCCCTGGGGAAAGTGCACTGTGCTGGCCCCAGCCAAAGCCTTCAACTGAGATTCACTTTCCTTAGGTTCTAGATGCTTGATTAGCTCTAAGACAAAATCATAAATTGGGACACATCAAGACTTGGTGGTTTTCTTCCTATGAGGGAATATATAAATTATTATTTCATTACACTTGGTATTTACTTGGTGACTTCTAGAAACCTGGCAAAGAATCACGGGCAGTGTGTGAGCCACAGAGAGCCTCTCAGGGTAGCGTCTATTATCTCTGCAATATTTTACTAAGGGTTTTATTAACCCTCATAGTTAAAAGCAAGGAACCTGCTTTCCTAGAGACTGTTTAGAGCCCTGTGGGGGTACTACTAATAAAAAATATCCAAAGCAAATTTAAGTTGAATTGCAACTTTTTCCTGAGAATCTAAACGTAATTAAGAAAATCTGTTTTTAAAACTATATATAGCATTACTTTAGCTCCGTAATCCATACTGTATAAAATAACTTATTCATTTGGAGCTCTGTCATGCATCTATTCCACATTACTGCATTGAATTACTAGAAGCTGCATAATATCCAAGCAATAGATGTGCCACAATTCAATTTACCATGCCCCTGTTGTGCAACATTTGGCTGGTTTCAGTTCTTAATTATGACAAATTACATTGCTTTAGCAGTGTTTAGATTGGCATGATGTATTTTTCCAGAACTCTTACAATATAATTTTTGGAAATATTAACCAAGGAAATAGCTTTTTAATATTAAAAACAACAACTTCAGGAACTTTAATTTTATTTATACTATAGCCCTTGCCCTAGGCCAGTTCAGTGTGGCCTAAAACTCTTCCCTTTTTACATTATTATTTGGTTCTCGGCTCATTTCTTGATACTTTTTGCTTCAAGCTTCTTGCTGTCCATCTGCTTTTATTTCCTTATTGTAGGCCCGGCTTTAAATAACAAAATACATTGAGAATTACCAAGCACAACTTAGAGTTATTTCTTATTTGATCTTAGATGAGCCATATCTATACTTACTCTTTGAAGAGCTCATCCATTTTTTTTCCATGCTGACTTTAAAATCGAGATATTCTGATGCCTGTTGCTTGTTTCTGCCAGACGGTTTGCACTAATGGATGTTATCAAACAAATGCACTGGCAGTTGCTTTTTGCTACGTAATTTCTTCTGGGGTATTATTAAGCCCTAGCTCCTATGAGCTTTGTAGACTGTCTTTCTCATTATTTCCAGGCTGACTCACCCACAGAATTTTTTGCATCTCCTTGGAGTAGAAACCATTTCAAAAAAAATGATCCCATTTTTGTCTTCCTTCTTTTATACTCTTTTCTGTGGCCTCCTAACTCCTCACCCGCTGGGTGTATCACTTCTCTGTTGTGGCCACTTCGGGTGTCTTTCCAAATCGCTTCAGGATATTCTTGTACCGTGATTTTTTTCAGAATCATTCTCTTGTTTGCCTCTTTTAGAAACCATTGCACAAATTAGGATGAATTGATAAATGATTTCCCCTCTTCCTTTGTCATCATGGCGATTACTAAAGTTAAGTCATGCTCATACACACTTACCGTGTCCCCCTTGCTCTGTCTCCCCCAGGGGCCTTCTGCAGCGCAGGCCGGGGAGGCTCCCCACGCGTGGGGCCCGCTGGGCATGCGCGGCCGCAGCGGTTCGCAAAGCACCTCAGGGTCAGCCCGCTCTAACTTTTGTGGTTTGGGTTTGATCCTAATACTCCGCTGGGTTACTTTCCAAAGAACTTTGGTTTTTGCTTAGAGCATAGATATGTCGAAATCTACACGATACGTATTTTAGGGCTGGTTTTGTGAGTCAAGTTTATACTTGCAATTATCATTTTTAGCTACAGAAGATATTTTACTGAAGCATACAATTGAAATCGTATCGTCTTCCCTTGTCCAGAGAGTAAGTTGAGCTCTCAGATTTTTCCAGAGCTTTTATCCTGTGGTGATTCTACTGTTCTTCAGTGGTTACTCATTTCAGTCTATTTACCTACCCAGTTTCAAACACTCCTGCTCAGAAAGAATATGCCCTCCTTGGGCAGGGCAAAAGTCTTTGTTTGCCATTTAAAAAAAAAAGACAATGTATGCATCCATACCCTAGGTGCCTGTAAAATTCTTTCCTTTCTCGGACTGATTGATCCCTACAGCATTATCGCTAATTTAGGAGGATATTAGTTTTTACTACTGTCTTTTCCTTTGACTTTGGGAACTCTTTTATGATGTAGGAAGAATTTTATTTTTTTTTTTTAAGATTTTATTTATTTATTTGAGAGAGAGAATGAGATAGAGAGATCATGAGGGTCAGAGGGAGAAGCAGACTCCCTGCCGAGCAGGGAGCCTGGTGCGGGACTCGATCCAGGGACTCCAGGATCATGACCTGAGCCGAAGGCAGTCGCTTAACCAACTGAGCCACCCAGGCGCCCCGTGATGTAGGAAGAATTTTAAATCTCCTTGGTAACAAGCAGACCCTTGTCATAAACGTTTTCCTAACTAAATGCTTCATTTGCAACAACAGACATTTATTTTGTAGCAACTGTGTGCCAGGAATAGTAAGAAGTACCAGAGTTGAAAAGATAAATGGCCTGATCCCTGCTCTAAAGGCAATCAGTCTGGTGTGGGAGAGAGATGGGAATTTAAATAAGTAATCACAACACAGAGTGAGATGTGCAACAACAGAAAATGGATTTTTAAAAACTGGGGGAAGCGATACCAGACACAAGAAAGGCTCCCCAGAAGAAAGGACATCTTCATATTCTAACAATGGTTTGCTTTGCCAATCGCATCCTCATTATAGAAAATTTGTATGATGGATAAATATGTAATTATCTACCTAACTCCCCCATGCGGATAACTACTGCTAATATATTTGTATATTTCCTTGCTTTTATTTGCTATACTTGTTTTTATAAGTTTGAGATACTACTGTCAACATCATTTATTATCCTACTCTTTTCACTTAATCTAGAACTAAGTTAGAAATGGTTCTAGGGCACCTGGGTGGCTCAGTTGGTTAAGCGACTGCCTTCGGCTCAGGTCATGATCCTGGAGTCCCTGGATCAAGTCCCGCATCGGGCTCCCTGCTTCTCCCTCTGACCCTCCCCCCTCTCGTGTGCTCTCTGTCTCTCTCATTCTCTCTGTCTCAAATAAATAAATAAAATCTTTAAAAAAAAAAAAAAAAGAAAGAAATGGTTCTAGATTATTAGTGGCGCATCTTGAGCTTCCTTTGGCCTCTGAGTCCGTAGGCAGATGCTGATCAAGGTCTAAGTTAAATAAACCAACCAAAGCCCCTGGGACGTTGGTGCTT